CCCCAAAACCCCAAAACCCCAAAACCCCATTCTGAATATTTTGGGCCAACATCTGATTACTTTTAATTTGAATTTGTAGCGAGTGCATTTATAATAGTTTTAATGAGAGCACTTTAACAATCAGATAACTCAACAAAGCCTAAAGAAAATGTGGTTGCCATAACTTGTGGTATTATTTACATTTATATAAACACCTTACAAACTAGAATCTCTTGGCTGCCTGTATTGCTGTCTCGAAGATTACGTGGTATGCGGCGAAGAGTTAGACTGCAAGCCAGGCATCGACAGCAAAGTAGTGCTATTCTGTGCCATTTTAGCAGGACTGTTCTTCATCATGTTCTTGTATTGTCTAGTTTGCTACACTTGCGTGGGCCGTAGATACAGAAGGATGTTTGTGGAGACTGTGTTCCATAGAGATCACCAGCTTAAACAGATGGAAAAGCAGTAAGGGGTAAGTTTAAACCAATAAGCACTTACAATTATAATCTTGAATGAAACTTAAACAATATGAAATATAGTTGGTGATGGGCGCAAGTGTGCCTAAGAATATCCCAGTAAAGATAGCTGACATTGAAGAGGACAGTGATGATGGCGACTATGCTTTTGAAAAACTTATTAAAAAGGATATAGTACCCACTAGTGCTGCTCCCTCTTAAGAAATAGTCACGCATGATTTCACTAAGCCAGGAGTCCTCTAGGCATATCAGTCCCAGTAAAAAGAGGTGCTTTTGAAGATGAAAAATGAAGAGTCGAGAAGTAAGGCTTAGAATCAAGCAAGCAGTGCTTAAGTGCAAAAGGCAAGTAGTGGAAAGTAATAAGCGCATATGCCTAGAAATAAATTAGAAGACGAGGATAGGAAGTTGGCAATGTAGATGCAAGAGGAGGAGTCTAGAAGAATGCTTGAATTAAATGATATAAGTTTAGATGTGAGTGGGGTTAAAAACCAAAGTAGAAGTCACATAGATTTGAAGTCGCAGTAGCTGTCCCAGTTAAATAAGAAATAGGGAGATGATGAGGACCCTATGGGTGATAGTTTAGACGAAGTTGATTGATTATTGAGGAAATAGATTGATGATTGAATTAATGTGAAATTGATATATTATTGTGAATGCTATTTCAATGAGTTATATTGATACTTGGGGTTTTGGGGTTTTGGGGTTTTGGGG